ACAGGGAATGTGGAGGTCCTGAGAGAGAAAACGCCTGACATGTTTGAGGAACAGAAAGGAGGTGGCAAGTTAGGAAGGTGTGAGTGAGAGGGAGTATGTAGGTCAGAAGGCAGAGCAGGGAGGGCTTTCTAGAACCAGAGTGAGAAGTTTGGATTTTGTTCTCAGGATAATCACAGTGATTGGAAGATAGAATCTGAATCATTATGCTACCTAAAGTACATACATACACATGCATGTGTACATGAACACATAATACATAACATATATGCATACATTCATGCTAAGTCACTTCAGTCATGTCCAACTCTGTGCGACCTTATGGACTATAGCCTGCCAGTTGTCCATGGGATTCTCCAGGCAAGAATACTGGAGTAGGTTGCCATTTTCTTCTCCAGGGGATCTTCCCAACTCAGGGATCGAACCTGCATCTCTTATGTCTTCTGCATTGGCAGGCAGGTTCTTTACCACTAGTGCCACCTGGGATACATACAGACATAAATGGAATTGGAAGAACCAAGGTATCTAGAATGACGTATTAGGATTGAAATTTCTAAATTCACATAGTTTTGGAGCAGATTATTAAGAATAATCTGGAGAGTGGCAAGCAGCCCACTCCACTATTCCTGCCTGGACAGTCCCATGGGCAGAGCAGCCAGGCAGGCTCTAGTCCATAGGGTTGCAAAGAGTCTGACACGACTGAAGCAACTTAGCATGCATGCATTAAGAACAAATGTTCACACTGAGGGAACTAGAATTGAGACACATGTACCCCAGTGTTCATTGAAGCACTGTTTACAATGGCTGGGACATGGAAGCAACCTAGATATCCATACGCAGATGAATGGATAAAGAAGTTGTGGTGCATATACACAATGGAATATTACTCACCTATAAAAAAGAACACATTTGAGTTAGTTCTAATGAGGTGGATGAAACTGGAACCTATTTTACAGATTGAAGTAAGTCAGAAAGAAAAACAGCAATACAGTATATTAATGCATATATATGGAATTTAGAAGGACAGTAATGATGACCCTTTATGCAAGACAGCAGAAGAGACACAGATGTAAAGAACAGACTTTTGGACTACATGGGAGAAGGTGAGGGTGGAACAATATGAGAGAAAAGCATTGAAACATGTGTATTACCATATGTAAAGTAGATGACCAGTGCAAATTTGATGCATGAAGCAGAGGCACCCAAAGCTGGTGCTCTGGGACAGCCCAGAGGAATGGGGTGGGGAGGGAGGTGGAAGGTGGGGTTCGGGATGGTGGACGCATGTCACCCATGGCTGATTCATGTTGATGTATGGCAAAAACCATACATAATTGTTAAGTAGTTAACCTCCAATTAAAATAAATAAATTTGAAAAAAAGGAGCAAGTGTTCATAACAATGTCTGGAGGAAAATGAGACTTGGAAATGAGGCTGAAAATGGCTAATTTTGCAGCAGGGACCTCACCCCCATCCCCCACTCTGGCAGCAGAAAGAGAAGTAAACATGCGAAGGTCCATTAGATGAGAAAGAACGCGGTGCAGTCCACCAGACGTCAGCCTGGAAGAAAGGTCTCTGCCCTCGAGAACTCGCAGTGTCAGGCAGCTTGGGGAATGAGTGGACCCACACGCCTAAAATATGGTCAGTAGTAATAGAAGTTGGCCAGAAGAAGCCCAGAATCTAAACTCTAGCAAACACGCGGTTCTCATCCTTCCCTTCCCCCTCTTTACTATTTAATACTTGGCAAGAGAAAGGTCACTTGACAATATTTATTAGCTCATTAACTGTAAGTGTCTTTGCTGCCAGGGGAGATTTTTTTTTATAACAATTCTATTCTTTTCTACAAGCTTCGCTGCAGGTGTAAATGGAACAGAGAACACTAGCTCTCTCCTGGCACCCAAGAGCTATAACTAAATATTACTTTTTCTCCAGCTGGTAAAAAGGAACATGATCAGACTGAGTCTGGCTTGGCTGACTTATAGGAGGCCGACAAAGCAAAAATCAGCATTCCCTGTGCATGGGCAGTGCTTTCAAGCTGGTGAGCTCACTATCCCATTTCCACTGTTCAGACCTCTACTCCCGAGAAAAGGGAATGGAAACAGAAGTAACATGCACCAAAGGCTTCCCTGGTAGCTCAGATGGTAAAGAATCCGCCTGCAATGCGGGAGGCATGGGTTCGATCTCTGGGTTGAGAAGACCGCCTGGAGGAGAGCGTGGCAACCCACTCCAGTGTTCTTGGCTGGAGAATCCCTGTGGACAGAGGAGCCTGGCGAGCTACAGTTCACAGGGTCACAAGAGTCAGACGCAACTGAGCGACTAAGCACGCACACAAGTGCCAGATGCTAGGGTGCACCGAAAAGTGAAGTCAAAGTGTTGGTCGCGTCGTCGTGTCCAACTCTTTGTGGACTGACCAAATGATACCCACTGACCAAAAAACACCAAAAAAAAAAAAAATCCATTCACCCATTCTTTTCCAGTGTTTGCACAGATTCTTCTTATGCCCCACCCTTGACTTCACTAACTCCTAATTCTCCTCTTAAACTTATCTCGGGAGTTCCCTGGTGACCTAGTGGTTAGGATTCTGTGCTTTCGCTGCCATGGCCCAGGTATGATCCCTGATCAGGGAACAGTGAGATCCTGCAAGCCGCGGGCACAGCCGAAAAAAGAAAAAGAGAAGCAACTCAAGTGCCAGCTTTTCTGGGAAAGTTACCTTCCCTCTCATAGTACCAAGTGCAGCCGTCATTGTTACATTCGTTTCACCCTGAGTTTGTTTGTCCAAATGCTGGTGTGTATATTCCTTGAAAGCAGAGATTTCGTGTCCCATTTTACTGGGTTCGTGAGTTAGCTGTAGAATGAATGAGTGAATCATGAGTTAATATGATGAGATTATTATTTACTAGGCACCTCCAATGTGTAACAGTATTTCATACCAGTTCTAATGCTGGTTGCCACTGATTTGGTGATATTTGTATCCAAAACCCTTGGTACAGTGACAACAGTAGAATCCTCAGGGCAGACCTCAAAAACCAAATCGATTTCTTTCTCCTTCTCTCCCGTCCTCTTTCCCTCCTTCTCCACCCCATTACCCTCTCTTTCTCTCTCTCTCTCTCACACACACACCTTTTCTCAGACCAGGGGATCAAGAAAGCATCCTATTATTTTGCTATGGGATGAACTTCTTAGGTTAATTGATGTAGGACTCATTGGAGTGGACATTATCTCTCCATGACATCCATCTATAACCAAGGCCCTGTGAGCTTTTAAAGAAAATGCTGGCTTTTGGAGGAGAGGTTGGCCGGCCTTTGAGTCTAGCAGATGGGTAGCAGAGTATGATTAACCATGATAGGCCAATTGGTTAAACTTTTCATCATTTTTGAGCTTCAAAGTTAATGCTTATTGAAAATGAATGCAGCCATTCCAGAAGGTGAGAATACAATATATTTAAATAGAATCATCACAGAATGTCAAAGCAAGAAGTCTTTCCAGGGTTTTGAAATAACTTGATTTTCTATGATAATTAATTGAATTCTCCACTCACCCTATTCCCTTTGAGTGGAAGTCAGTGGATTCAGATTTTTTTTAAAAACAATGAAAGCATTAAGGATTATTTAACTTTTCTCTACTAATGGGAGCCTCAGAAAAGGATGGGTCTGTTCTGCTTTATCCTGTCTTTATGATCAAAGCGGCGCTTATGAGGCCAGCTGAACAGAAGAGAAAATGACTTGTGATTCAGAACCAGCCCTGCGATTGGTGGGGATGGTGTAAAGAAGAGAGTAAACGGGGTGCTGATGATATTAGAGAGACTGGCTTTTCAGGAGAAAGCATTTGTTTTACAGGTTTGGAGAGAATTTACGAATGGTTAATATTGGCAACCATAGCACATTTTGTACAAGCAGGGCTTTGAACAGCAACTGACCAGATGCCGACAGATGTGAAAGGGGATAGTGCTTTGGATGTGAAGTGCTCTCTGAATTTGCACGGGAGCGAATCAGAAGAGTCCCTCTTATTCAGAGGACGCTGAGGACCAGCAGCTACAGTTTTACAAATCACCAGCCAGTAGTTTTTCCTTCGGGGCGTGCCTTAGATTACCTTTCAGGATTTTTTCTTCCTTTCTGAAGGAACGTGCCCTGTAGCCAGAACAACCGTCTGTCCCAGAATTTTGAGAACTGTTCTAATTTAAAATAATCTATCCTGTCGTGCGCCCCCCCCCCCCCCCGCATGTTAGATTGTGTGACCAATTTGGGGTTCTGAAAGCGTGGTCACCATAGATTCAGCCATTCCAGCTGAACAATTGCATTCCATCAACTCTCAGACGATTCCATCATCCAGTGGTCGCCTCGGCACCCCCTCCGGCTTGGACCTCACACACTATTGTTCTTGAGGAGAAAGAGGGCAATACTCTCTTACCATATTACAGGAATACTACTACAATTTTTTAGGTGTGGACAAAAGTCTTTTTTTTTTTTTTAAGTCACGCAGTGCGAATTATAGAAAAGTTAAAGGAAATATAACCAAGCAAGCAAAAGGAAAACATCCCAAACCTACCAACCAAACATCATTCCCATTGTAATGTACCTATATATAAACGCATTTTAGATATCTTTTTTCTTAACAAAACATGTGGTCCTAATGACCATGTGTAGGCTTGTTACCCTATTTCTCATTTAGCAACGTGTTACGAACATCTTGGTATATCATGAAATGTACATTTATGTCATCCTTATAATCACTGCCTATTTTACTCTGTAGTAAAAATATGCAATTAATTACCTTAAGCCCCTTGGATGTTGTTATTTTGATGTTTTGTTGTTATACACAGTGCTGAGAAAAGGCATGATTTTCTTCACGGAAAGTATTTGGGTGGTGATGTGGGACTTGGTCCAGTAAGTCTGCAGATCTTCCTGGAAGCTGCCAGGAATGATAGCTTGCTGTAATGTCTGATAGTCCGGTCATTTTATGCCCAAACACATCAATGACACACTAACGAATTCCACTTTAATCTTTATTATCATTTACCATTGGCTTCCCATGTGTTTCTCAAGGATTCTCTGGTGTCCAGACCAACTTTGTTGATCATCCCGTTGCCATTATATTTTTGGCTGATGGGGCAAGCGTGGCTCTGAGGTCAGCCTATGGTTGCGTCTGTCTGGATCACATTTTCGGGTGATGCATCATACACCATGTCTGCTCCCTGGCTCCGACCAACAAGACTTTAAAGAGACTGAAAAAAAAAAGGCTCAGAAAGTTTCTTGGATATCAAACAGCTCTTATAAAAATAACATTTTTATGACTTAAAATGTAAATGAATCAGAAACATATGGATTAAATTTCCTTTGAAATACCCAAGGGCTTAGACACTGAAGGGAAGAGTGCTTGCAAAATGAGTTAAATCGAGTTGTGCCAAAAATAAAACACGTGAAAAATTGTTGGGGCGGTCTTGCTGACCCCTAAGGTGCTCACTGGCCTTCCACTCTCGGTTTGAAAAGTTCTTCGATTTAAACTTTTGGGCCACTCAGGAGAAAGCATTGAGGACGAGTTCAGTGGGCATCTGGCTCTCGAGTTAAAGAATTGATACTAGAAAGTCAAATTGGGATCAAATGTCCTTGAAACACACCTTCCTTCTTCAGTATCTCACAGTGTCCCCCTCCAGCTGTCATCCTGTCTATCCGGTGTGAAGGATGTTCCAGCAGGACTCAGACTCTGTTGGGGAAAAGACTGGTAGGATCTATTGATCAAGTCCAGATTCACACTCTGTTCTTCCCTTCCCTTGTCTGTTCCCTCCTCTGCCCGTTGCTGCGCCTCCTGTCTTTCCCTCCTCCTGTCCCTGAGGTCAGGAAGCATAGAAGCAGAGCCTAAGATGGGCATTCTCATGTAAGTGATTTATTGAGCAAATGCTCCCTGGAGAAATCTGTAAGGAAGTGAGGGAAACAGATAGGGTGGGGGCAGAAGGTAAGGCAAAGATGTGGGTATGGCTGGCATCTAGTCTCAGCCAGGTTCTTCAGGGAGCTCTGAAGCCTGAACGGCTCCTCTGAGTTGTCCAGAGTTTCCATATTTGGAACCTTGAGGTTCCAACCTCAAGTGGCCTTGAGGTTCCCTATCAGTCGGTCATTAGCATCAGCTGCCCCTAGAGTGAGGATGTAACATCCCTGGAGTTGAGAGTGGGGCAGCTCCCATGTCTCTGCTGTGGGCAGTCCTTGAGGGCATTGCTCCAGGCAAGAGTAAAACTGTGGTTCTTAGTGGACCACACCCAACGCAGTCCTTGGAATCAATGTAGTTTCACATAAAAGGGATCTGGTGGGGATTAATGGTGTCCACCATATCCCTCTTCTCAGAGCTTCAAAGACATCTTTAAATTCACTCTCTTTGGCTTCCCACATATTCAGATTCTTTCCTTTTTTATTTTTCTTGCCTTTATCTTCTTTGCATATTTCCCACTGCAGTCATGCTCATCTAGACTTCATCATCCTCAAAGCTAGATTACCTTCCTCATTTCTCAACTGAATCCCCAGCTTTAGAATATCCCCTAAACCAAGTTTTCTCACAGATGGCTGGATTACTGTTATCCTCCAAAGACCAGTTTCAAATGTTGCAGGATCAATTGTAGTTCTTAAATATCTATGGAAACATTTCTCAGTTGTTTTTTTAAGATGAAGGATATGTTAAGATCATGGTGTACTCTTTGGAACCCTAGTCAATGCTAATGTAGTAACTTTAATGAAAAATTTGCTGTATCTTGTTTTATACTAAAGTAGGTTATATGGAAGAGTGAAATTTAATAAAAATTATTGGAAGATAGAATCTATCAATTAAGCTTTAATTTTACCTATGGGTAATAATATGTAAAATCCTTAGACCAGTGCGAGAAAAGAGTAAGTGCTCAGTGAATATTGACTCATATTATCATGGTGGTTACAATAGTCTCATAACTCGTCTCTCTGATTACACTTTCATCTTCCTCCAGTAGTTGCTTTACAAGGAAGCAAGAGTGTTTAAGATCGTGCATGCATGCTAAGTTACTTCAGTTGTGTCCAACTCTTTGCGACCTTATGAACTGTTGCCCACCAGGCTCCTCTGTCCATGGAATTCTCCAGGCAAGAATATAGGAGTGAGTTTCCACGCCCTCCGCCAGGGGACCCTCTCAACCCAGGGATTGAAACCTGGGCCCCTGTGTCTCCTGCATTGGTAGGTGAAACCTTTGCCACTAGCATTACCTGGGAAGCCTGTTTAAGATTGTATTTAAACCCAGATCAGGTTATTGTATTAGTGTCTTGCATATATTTCTTCCCAGCATATTGACATAAAACCCAGTTTTTTTCAAATTCTTTTCCAAATTAGGTTGTTACATAACATTGAGCAGAGTTCCCTGTACTATACAGTAGGTCCTTGGTGGTTGTCCATTTTGAATATAGCAGTGTGCACATGAAAAGATGCATACATATCAGTTCAGTTGCTCAGTCGTGTCCGACTCTTTGCGACCCCATGAACCGCAGCACACCAGGCCTCCCTGTCCATCACCAACTCCCAGAGTCCACCCAAACCCACGTCCATCGAGTTGGTGATGCCATCCAACCATCTCATCCTCTGTTATCCCCTTCTCCTCCTGCCTCCAGTCTTTCCCAGCATCAGAGTCTTTGCAAATGAGTCAGTTCTTCACATCAGGTGGCCAAAGTATTGGAGTTTCAGCTTCAGCATCAGTCCTTCCAATGAGTATTCAGGACAGATTTCCTTCAGGATGGACTGGTTTGATCTCCTTACAGTCCAAGGGACTCTCCAGAGTCTTCTCCAAAACACAGTTCAAAAGCATCAATTCTTCGGCGCTCAGCTTTCTTAGTCCAACTCTCACATCCATACATGACTACTGGAAAACCATAGCTTTGACTAGATGGACCTTTGTTGGCAAAGTAAGTCTCTGCTTTTTAATATGCTGTCTAGGTTGGTCATAGCTTTTCTTCCAAGGAGCAAGTGTCTTTTAATTTCATGGCTGCAGTCACCATCTGCAGTGATTTTGGAGCCCCACCAAATAAAGTATCTCACTGTTTTCATTGTTTCCCCATCTATTTGCCATGAAATGATGGGACCAGATGCCATGATCTTAGTTTTCTGAATGCTGAATTTTAAGCCAACTTTTTCACTCTCCTCTTTTACTTTCATCAAGAAGCTGTTTAGTTCTTCTTTGTTTTCTGCCATAAGGGTGGTGTTATCTGCATATCTGAGGTTATTGATATTTCTCCCCGCAATCTTGATTCCAGCTTGTATTCATCCAGCCCGCATTTCACATGATGTACTCTGCATATAAGTTTAATAAGCAGGGTGATAACATGCAGCCTTGACGTACTTCTTTCCCAATTTGGAAACAGTCTGTTCCATGTCCAGTTCTAATTGTTGCATTTTGACCTGTATACAGGTTTCTCAGGAGACAGGTAAGGTGGTCTGGTATTCCCATCTCTTGAAGAATTTCCCACAGTTTGTTGTGATCCACACAGTCAAAGGCTTGGGCATAGTCAATAAAGCAGAAGTAGATGTTTTTCTGGAACTCTTGCTTTTTCGATGATTCAGCGGGTATTGGCAATTTGATCTCTGGTTCTGCGTATGTATAACTGAAATTAACACAAAATCAGCTATACTCCAGTATAAAAAGTAAAAAGAAAACCAAAAAACAGTCTTTACCTTGGTCTGGAAACACACCACAGACCTGCCACGCCCGTGTTTCCAAACTTTGCTCCATTCGCTGTCCAACACATGCTTCCAACACGTGGGCCTCCTTCATTCCCTTAGTGCTAACCTCGTTCATACCTCAGGATCTTTGTATCTGCTGTTTTCTCTGTCTGGAAAGGTCTCCTCCTCCTGCTCCCGTCTACCCCACCACCCTGCATGACTCGATCCATTTTTAGACCTCAGTTTAAATGTTTCTTTCTCCAAAAGTTTCTTTCTCTCTCTGACTGCTTCATTCATTCATTCATCCAAAAAATATTTATTGAACACCTACTCTGTGCCAGACACCTTCTAATCCCAGAAGAAAAAAACAAAGACAACCATCATTATAGAAAGGCAATAGTCCTTGACTTCATAGAACTTACGTAAAGCAGAGAAAGAGAAACCAAAACAAGTAAGTGAATTATATGTGTGTATGCGTGAGAAAATAAAGATGAGAAGGAAATAAGAAGTGCTGGAGAGGAATGATTGCTAGTTTTATTAAAAAGTCAGAAAAAGCCTCTTTAAAAGAGGATCTTTTTTGAAGCCAAGGCCTGAAATAGCTCCAACAATCCCACTATTTATTCTGCATTTCAGTCTTTTGTGTTATGTCCCTCCTCAGAGCTACTTATTAAAATGGATGATTTTCCCCCTTTTTTCCTTGGTCTGTTTCCCCCACTAGACTGTAAATTTAATTAGGACAGAAGCAGTCTGTCTTGTTCACTGTTATAGTCCCAGCCTGTAACACTGTACCTGATACCTAAAAAGTATTAAGTATCTATTTAGGCAAGGCATATGTTAAGTTATTACTGAATCAGATATTAGAAATCAGTTACTCTTGAAGGCAACCTATCATACTGGAATGAAATGAAATGCCACGTGTGAAAGATTGCATAATGACAAAAGCTAAGAAAGGCAAAATGAAGTGTAATAAATTGAACCGTAATGTGGTCTCATACTTTTAGAATAGAGATGGAGCATAAATAAAAGAGAAACTTTCATTACCATCTCAGCAGTGTTGTGTGTTCCATCATCTTGCGACAGAAGCCAAGAACAGAGTCATGTTCCACATCTGAACCTCAGACCTCTTTTATCACCCCACTACCCCACCCTTCTTCCAAACATAAAAGAAAGAAAAGGCGTCTCCACCAGATCTTCCAGGTCTATCTCACTTTCCCCAATGACTGCCAAAGATACTGAGAAGACAAAGACTGAATGTGTACAGTGATTCATTTAGACCATTTTGGGTATGGATGGGGATGAAACCAATCAGGCTGCTTGTACTTTGTTAAATAGTCAACAGTCTGAATTTCAAAATCACCCCTAGATCTGACAAGAAGAGTCCTTGCAGTGGGCCCTGCACGTCTGAGAACTTCACTCTCTTAGTTGAACTGCTTCTGATGGGGTGGGGTCTTTGGGCTAAGAAGATCTGTTCATACAGTGACCATCTCTGGGCACTAGGATCTCAGAATTCTTTGCCCAAGCACTTCCTGGGCCCATGCTCCCAAAGAGCAGATGGCAAAGCTGACGTGCCTACCCCTACTCCTGCACCCAAGGAACCGTGATCAAAGATTGGCTACCTGTGGGGAGAGTATAGACCTGGGTGGCCTGAGTGTCCACATGGACATTCATAAGGTCCCTTGCAGCATAGGATGGAGCCAATGTGGGTGAAGGAAGAAGAGATGCAGGCTGCGTGCGGTTCAGGTCCTGGCAGAAGGGGACTAGGTCTCTTACTGCTGCCACTGGTGGACTTAGAATTCTAAGGAATCTGGGAATTGTCTACATCTGAATCTGACCTTCTAACCTTGACAGTGTGACATCAGTAGAGGTGGAAGATCAGGGATTCCGTGTGGGTCAGGGTGGCTTGACTTGGATTGAGAGCCTTGAAGCTCATGGCATGTAAGTGTCTCCATCTGTGCCAGCCTCAGGCAAAAAGGTCTAATACCTTTAAAAATTTTTCTCCATGCTTGTCATGGACTCAGAGGGAAACTTCGTGCAGTCTGGCAGCAACTCAATCTAAGGGTGTGAAAGACTGAATATTTGTTGAATTCTCATTTCTCAGTGGGATGGTATTTGGAGGTGGGATCTTTGGGAGGTAATTAGGTCATGAGGGTGGAGCCCTCATGAAAGGGATTGCTGCCCTTCTAAGCAGTAATGTGAGGATAACAGCAAGGTGCAAACCAGGAAGTGCACCCTCACCAGACACTGAGTTGGCTTATACCTCGATCTTCTACTTCCTAACCTCCAGAGCTGTGAGAAATAAACGTTTGTTGTTTAAGTACCCACTCTACAGTGTTCGCAGGTGCTTCCCAGGTGACGCTAGTGGTTAAGAACCCACCCACCAATGCAGGAGAAGTAAGAGATGCAAATTTGATCCCTGGGTCTGGAAGGTCCCCTGGAGGAGGGCATGGCAGTCATCTCCAGTATTCTTGCCTGGAGAATTCCACGGACAGAGGAGCCTGGTGGGCTACAGTCCATGGGGTCACAAAGAGTTAGACACGACTGAAGTGACTTAGCCTACACCATGATGTTCCGGTTGGGATTGAACCCAGGTCTCCCATATTGCAGGCAGATTCTTCACCAGCTGATCCACCAGGGAAGCCCAAGAATACTGGAGTGGGTAGCCTGTCCCTTCTGCAGCGTATCTTCCCGACCAGGAATCAAACTGGGGTCTTCTGCATTGCAGGCGGATTCTTTACCAACTGAACTATCACGGAAGCCCCACGATGTTCTGTTTTAGCAGCCTAAACTGATCAAGACAAGTGGAGATACATCTTAGGAACAAAAATAGAACCACAAAGCATCAAAATTTGGAGACCTGGGACTTCCCTGGTGGTCCAGTGGCTAAGACTCCATGCTCCTAATGCAATGGGCCCAGGTTCAATCCCTGGTTAGGGAACTAGATCCCACCCATCACAACTAAGACCTAGGTGCAGCCAAATAAATACGTAAGTATTTTTTTAAAACCCATAAAATTTGGGGACCTGAGAGGGACCCTGTCTTTGTATATACAGGCCTATAGCTGGTAAGTACCAGCCATAAGCTCCTGAATATCTCACCCAGTGCTGGGAAGCTATGGAATATGCCCATGGAGGTGTCATTTCTTATAAACACCTGCAGCCTTGCTGAGGTTTGGGTTTCAACCCTTTTCCTAAACTCCATTGTTCACTCCAGGTGAAGAGTCTTGAGAATTAGAAAGTATCCAACTAATATCCTAGTGTTATTCTAAGGAAGACCAAGAAGACAAATTAGGAAGTTCTATGCCAAGAAGTCAAGGGAAGTACAGTGTCTTGTAAATTATCCTAATGGATGTATTCAGAAAGAGTAGTTATGAATTCATTTAGATTACTGAGGAAAAATGATGAAGCAAATCGGATTCCAGGTGGAGCAGGAAGGTTCACAGTTTGGTCAGGGCTTTGCTAGACACTTAAGATATGTGAAATATTGTCTTATTTCATGTTTCTTTGATAACTAGGGATAGTTAATATCTCATAATGTTTATTTATAGACCAGGTGCGTTTCTCTATTGTATGCTGTCCATATTTTTACCTGTTGATATACTGGGGCATTTAGAATGTTTCTTATTTGTTTGAATGTTTTAAATATTTTGTTTCTCTCTTAATTGTATGCATTTTTAATATAAAGAGGTTTTACATTTTATCAGTTTATAATGTAAATTTTAAGGGATTGTGACTTATGTTGTACAAAGCCTGCACATCAATTAGTACAAAAATATTCCTTAGGCAAAATTTGGTCTTTTATCTAGGCGTGTGCTATGTAGTTACATATCTTCCTTTTTTTTAAATTAACTTTTTTAAGATAAACAGATGAACATTCAGTTATAAAAACTAATACAGGGAGAACCTGTGTACCAGTTTTGCTTATGGTATCTCTAGTAAAACTGTAGTCAGTATCACAAACAGTATGTCAACATTGATACAGGCAGGATGCAGACCATTAGCATCAGCACAAAGCTCCCTCATGTTGCTGTTTTGTACCCACACCCAACTCTCCCAGTCTTCCCCCTCCCTCATCCCCAACATCCATGAAGCTGTTGTTCATTTCTACCATTTTTTCACTTCAAGAATGCTGTTCAGTCGCCAAGTCGTGTCTGACTCTTTGGGACCCCATGGTCTGCATGGGCTTCCTGGTCTTTCACTGTCTCCTGGAGTTGGCTCAAACTCATATCCAATGAGTCGGTGATGCCATCCAACCGTCTCCTCCCCTGTTGCCCCCTTCTCCTCTTACCCTCAGTCTTTCCCAGCATCAGGGTCTTTTTCCATGAGTAGGCTCTTTGCATCAGGTGACCACAGTATTGGCAGCTTCAGCATCAGTCCTTCCAATGAAAGTTATACCAATGGGATTGCATAGTATGGAATTTAAGACGGGCTTTTTTCATGTGGCATAATTTTCTAAAGGTTTATTCAAATTGTTCTGTATATTAATAGTTTTTTCCTATTCAGATTTTGGGGTAGACAGTCACACAGTTTCCTTTCTTACTTGTATATCGGTATTTCCCTTTCTTGCTTTATTACACTGGATAGAGCTTCCAGCACTATGCTGAGTAAGAGTGGGGAGAGGGACTATCTGCCTCTTCCTGAGCTTGGTACGAGGAAAGACTTCATTCTTTCATCATTAAGGATGATGTTAGCTGTAAGTTTTTCATAGGTTGAGAAAGTTTGCCTCTATTCCTGTTTTGCTGAGTATTTTTCTCGTGAGCAAGTGTTGAATTGGGTCAAATCATTTTACTGCATTGATTAAACTAAGTCATGTGATATTTCTTCTTTAGTGTTAATATTGCATATTACCTTGATTTATTTTTGAATATTGAACCAGTGTTGCATCCTCAGATAAATCTCAGTTGGACATACTTGCTTAATTTTTCTTATATATTGCTGAATTCTATATGCTAATCTATCTTATGGAGAAGGAAATGGCAACCCACTCCAGTATTCTTGTGTGGGAAATCCTATGGACAGAGGAGCCTGGTGGGCTACAGTCCATGGAGTCACAAGAGTTGGACATGACTTTATGACTAAACCACCAATCTGTCTTTAACGATTTTTTTGTGTCTATATCCATGAGAGATATTGCTCTATAATTTTCTTTTCTTATACTTGTTGTTTATGTCAATTATTTTCATAAGTTTATTTATCTTTTTTCTTTATTTTTTAATGTAGGAGAGGTTTGCATTTTAGCAATTTATAAATTTTGGTATTAGAGTAATACTAATTTCATGTAATGAATTGAGACATGTTTCTTCCCCCCTTTCTTTTTTCAAGGAAATTGTATAGAATTCCTTTTAACTCTTCTTTATATATTTGGTAGAATTCTCAGGAAAACTATTTGGGCTTGGAGATCCCCTTTTTAGGACTTTTAAAATCATGAATTCAATTTTTGAAATTACTTATAAGGTTATTTATTCAAATTATGTATTTCATATTGAGTGAATTATAATGATTTGTGGAGTTTTTTGTCTAAGTTGTCAGACCCAGGTGTAGAGTTATTCTCTTATTATGCTTTTGATGTCTGCAGTATTGATTTCTGGTGTTGGAAAGTTGTCTTTTTTTTTCTTTGAGCAGCTTGATTAAGGTTTGTTGTTACTGATTTTTTTTCCCAAAGAACCAATTCTTTGTCTCTTTCTCTATTGTTTTTTTCTGTCTTCAGGTTCACTGATTTCTGCTCTTACCTTTATTTTCTTGCTTTGGTTTTATTTATTTAGATTTATTTATAATTTAGATTATTGTTACGAGACCTTCCTCTTTTCTAGTGTATGCCCTTGGTGCTGCCGATTTCCCTTCTACTTCTTGCTTCTGCTTTAAATTTTGTCTCCTTCAAATTTTGATATGTTTTGTTTTTGCTTTCACTCAGTTGAATATACCTTTTATGCTTCCTTTGAGGCATCCTCTTTGACTTATGTGTTGCATAAATACCTATAGTTCAGTTTCCAAGTGTTTGGAGATACTTCTTTTGGCATTCTGTTATTGATTTCTAGTTTGATTCTTCAGTGGTTGGAGAATGTGTTCTGTAGCATTTCAGTGCTTTTCAATTTGCTGAGGCTTGTTTAATAGCCCAGGGTCTATTTTGGTGTATGTTCTGTGAGTACTTGAAAAGAATGTATATTCTGCTGACACTGGGTGGAATGTTCTATAAATATCAGTGAGACCCTACTGTCTCATGGTGGTGTTTTCTTCCATATTTGTACTGTTTTTTCCTGTCCAGTTGTTTTGTCAGTTCTTGAGGGTGGGATGATGAAGTCCCCACCTGGAATGAGTAGATTTTGGATTGTTAGGGCTCCTTCCAGATCTATCAGTTTTGCTTCACATATTTCCCAGCTCTTTTGTTTGGAGCACACTAATTTATAATTGCGATGTCTTCTGGGTGGATGGGCAGTTTTGTCATTCTGTAATGTTCCTCTCTGTTGCTGCAGTTATCCTTGTTGTAAAGTTCACTTCAATATTAATATAGACGTTCTTGCTTTCTTTTGATTAATATTATCATGATATATATTTTTCCTTCCTTTTATTTTCAACCTGAATATATCATTATTTTTAATTGAGTTTCTTGTAAGCACCATATAGCGTCTTATGTTTTTTAATTCACTCTGCCAATCTTTGTCCTTTAAGTGGTTGCTTTAGTTTTTACATGGTGTGTATGCAATTTATCTTAGTCTACTGGTGTGTCATTTTAACTCTTACCTCATGTTCCTTTACCCTTTTTCATTTGCAGTATAATAGTCTTAAATCTTCT